CAAAGAACATATTCAATATATTTATGCGTTGAATCTTTCGATAAAAAAAATGCAATGTTAAGACGCTAGATTAATTAATTAGTAGAATCAACGGACAATATTCAGATCAAACCAAGAGCTGTTGTTGGAGTTGCCAGAAGTCCGACTTATTCTGACTGTGGAGCTCTCAAAGGCAGGATGAATAGTAGTAACACATTGACGTTAGTCAGATCAGTGTTGTCACTTGAATTTCGTTAGTTTCAAACATAAACGAAGAACTAGGTAACACGAAAACAAAAAAAGTTGTCGCAGTTGTTATTTGGACTAAGTGCTGTTGATAAATCACGCAACGTTCACGTCGGTAAGTAGCAACAGGAGCAGGAGTAGTAAACAACCACAACACCCCTCATTTTTTAAACTATTGCCTCTATTTCATTTTATAAAAATCATCATTAGAAATCTGTGCTTATGCATGTGCCCTTAGATCCTAAACATCTATCTCCAACAAAAAACGGAACTTATGCCACAAAGAGATTGTTCACGGACGAAAAAAAACGTAATACAAAAGCAGGATCAGAACTGAGAGTTGTCCGTATAGGGAAAAACGATTAGTCGTAGAACGGCTGTGATCAAACCAAATCGCCAGGCAGTTCACGAATACTTGTTCCATTTTCTCTGAAAATTATTCACAGGCACTTTCCACCAAACATGGACTGAAACGGACTAAGAAGCTACACCAACACCTTCACCTTCGCCGAATTTGAACAATTTTATGATTAAAAGGGTGTTGTATGTGAAATCGCAAGNAAAAAAATGTGAAAAAATTGTTTCATAAAAATCGCTGTCAATCATAGTTCTACCAACTTTGGTGTTTGTTGCTGAGGTGGTTTGTAGTCGTTATGTTTTGGAAAAGGAACCCTGAAAAGATCTATTTGAGTGAAATTCCGAACATGCCTACAAAGATCCAAAATTTCAAAAAAGAAGTTCCAAAAAAATCCAAAAATATCCAAAATGACACTAACCTTCTTGAATTATTCAATTCCACTCTCTTTCGAGCATTTCTGAACATTTTGCTGTTCTTGATCCAAGCATCCCATGCATAGATAAAGGCAGCGTATAGGAATGGAAGGATATCGATGAATATCAGCAAAATCACCATGTACGCAGGCAGAAGCGAGTTTTTCAGCTTTGGTATACAGGGTTGCTGAAAAACGAAAAAGTTAGGGTCTTCTGGGCAAAATGGAGAGGAAGTTACTACAAACCGAAAGCCCATTATCGGATTTCGAGTTTTCTCATCCCCTGGTGGTTATGATTGAGATAAGGAGTGTGAACGTTTCCAACTAATTTGTCTTCTTTCAGGACCATTAGATGGATCACCTGGACCTCGTCAGGTAATCCATCTATTTCCCAATCGTTTCGCCCTTCATTCCGTTCTTCAGGCGATTTTTCTCCTGTCTCTCTTAGTGATGGGGGATTTGAAGGGCTCCTTTCATCCATAAATTACTTGACTCTGACTATTTTCACTCCAATTACTCTTCCTATTCCCAATTTTCAGCAGCATGACTCCCAGACTTGAATTTCTCTTCATCTCCATCACTATTTCGACTGAAATCCTTTCCAGTCGTAGGAACGTGACTGTCTCTCAATTTTTCCTCCCACTTTGGTTCGGTCCCCTCACCAATGTGATTTCACTTGCTTCACTTTCTCATTTACTCCAAACTCCGAGTATCTACTCAAGGTGCTTCTTCTTCTTTACTCTTAAAATATGTCAAGTGTTACAACAAAACGGGAAGGTCGATTGGCTGGAACTTCACTGCAGTTGCAAGAGGCCGAAAGATATATTGCTTGCAGTCTACCCAGGTGAAAAAGTCTTCAATCATGCAGTGTGAGTAGTTTCTCTATCCGAACCATCTTACACCGCATATGAATAAGGGGAAGGCTATGTAGGATCCGCACCCGAAGAAACCTCTGTGACTAATAGGTCGGATATATTGAAATATTTGATCACTTTGGAAGTTAACGCATCTAATCCTCATAGCGATTCACGTCGGGAACTTGACGCATGGAACCTACGGATGGTTCTTTGGTTTGGATTGCTTGCCCATGAAAATTAATAACCCTTTAAAAGGTTCAATGGCAGGAACTAATGATGAATTCCGATTTAGATGAAGAAGCTGAATCCATTGCCTTCCGCAACCGTCCCCTAGAGTATGTTGTAGAAGCAGAATAATTAGTACTTAACAAGTACCCATATATCATAGCTGCATCAGCTATACCCATAAAAGTGCAAGAACCATCTTCCGCTTCTGACTTTTTGTCTCTATAACTGGATAAGTCCCTAAAGGGGTTTCACAGGCGAAAATATAATAAAAACCACTGCGACTGATCAATAAATAATGTTACCTGGAGGTCGAAACGCACGAGCATTTCGTTAGTTTCGAATTCACAAGCGAATCGTTCCTTGATTCCGTTGATATGGTACTCATCTCTAGGATACGCTTCCGTAAATAGTCGATCCACCATCTGTAACTGTTCAATGATCAGCATAAGACTCCTGGATGAGCCATAAGGTTCTCTCTAATGAGTTGTGTTATTCAATTGCGGGAAATGGACTTCGGTCGGGTACTATAGTATATACCTAAGAAAAGCTCGTGAGCTCTGCATTATTGGTGGTCAAGTATTGCGCATATTTCACGGAGCTAATCACTATCTCTAGGAGCCTTGATAGGTGTCCCTCGCCGTCTTACGGAGTACTCTAATAAAGGTTTAATAGATAATACAACCGATACTTGCGCTGGAGCAATCTTATCAATCCGGGAGGTATTCGAAGGCGTCGTGGAAACACTGCCTGGCAAAGCCGCTCTTACTGGTTCTGCACAACCCACCGGAGCGTACTAGTGCTTGGCAGGTAAAGCAACGTGTGTTCCAAGACAGCCATTCGCTTCGTCAGGGTTAGGGGCCTTCCTAAACCCAAATGCGCTGTGTTAATGCACTTGGGACGGTAAGGAATCTCTGGACAACTCAGCAAGATATCAATGTAAGGAGTTAATAATACTGGATTACGAGAGAACTTTGATAGGGATAAATCTGATTATCAAACGTACCCCTGGGAACTTTGCTGCTCCCCATAAAAGAGGGTGTATCAGATACAGTAGCTGAGCGATACAGAAAATCAGACATCCAACTAGGATACCCTGAAAAAGAGACAATTGGGAAGAGCAGCGACAATTCAATATAAATCTGAAGACATTGTTACCCTGTAGATGAGCTTCGCCAAGTTCCCCTCAACAACGTCACAGTGAACGAGGGCAAGAATTGGGAGGAGAAAAGCAGCCAGAACAATGTTCCACCAAAATAGTGTCCATATCGATGAGTTTGTCTGAAAAGAGGTGGCAAAGTAAGTTATCGCTTTCTATTTCACATAAATAGCTGTTTTTTATCAGGCGATGGGTCGGACACTTCATGAAGGAGGAATACAGGCCGCTCCCAAGCACCATCGTATCATATTCATACGAAAGGCCGTAGCCGATCTCATGTAGGCTATTTTTTGGCTTGACAACAGCAAGCGTCCTACTCTAGTGAGCCACAGATTCAAATTTGGACCACTTCAATGTTGGATCAGCTCCCCTAAATTAAATTCATTGCGTATTAGTTGTACTGCTGGCTCGAAGGATGTCCCAGTGTGTTTTGTTAGAAAAGTCAGGCGCATCCTCCGTCAGCTAACTCATGTCTTACACAACCGAACGTAACGACCTTCCCAAAGAGCACACACTATCGCTCTGTTTTTCATGATGTTAGAGTGAACAGCATGTCATTTTTCGTAGTCTGACGAGGAATGAGGTATTTTTCGTAGTGGCGTCTGTCTTTTGAAGAACCCAAATTTACACTGCCCATCGAAAAAACGTCTGCGGCTGTTCACCAACTTCATGATTTCAGTAATCAATAGTACGATCATCGAGTGGAGTACCCAATGGACGTCCACGATGAAGTCATCTACTATACTCTGCTGGTGGATGCATGAAATAGTTATCAGAGTAAGGGCTCGAGCAGTTCTGTGCTGAAATCATACCGAACAAGGAGAAAGGCAGACCTAATTTAGGCCAATTTCAGCTTTCGACTGGAATTAACCAAGTTAGCTCTAGAAATTCTAAAAAGTGGAAACTCTGTTAACTACTGGGAACAGAATTTTGGGCATAGAAAACCCGTAACAGCGATAAATTCTTCAGAGAGAACACATTCAAGACAAAAAGCCACTTCGAATCGCCCTTATCGCAGAACTGGTTCTAGAATTGATGCCATTTGGGCAATGAAGGCAGAAAGACGTTTGTATGACAAAAATTTGAAATAAGCACCGCAAAAATAGTGTTATCCGAGGGAAACCGGTGTTATCGTTGGATTCGACTCAGCCTCTCCGGGGAAGGAGCTTATAAATAACACCGACATCCAACGATAACACCGGTTCCTCAAACTCATTTTGCAAAAAAAATTTTTCAAATTCAATCCGAAACACAGCCTCGATAAGACAGATATTGCTGAATAGATATGATCCCATTCGGCAAAATCTCGTGCAAGCATCGAACTCGTTCTCAATGTGGCCCCACAAAAGGGATTTACAGCCCACTCAATCTTTGACTTTTTCTTCTCGATTTTAACTTCAAACCAAAGGTCAATGTAATTGAAGAATTATGCTGAACAATATGGTTATTTTATGGGTATCTCCAGGAAATTTATATTTATTATAGAACCCTATCACTGTAATCCTTTATGGTGATGTATTAAGATATTGTGGGAAAGGATAATAAAATTGCTGACTCGAATTCGTATAACCCTTTACACTCCATACCATAGGTTTAAACACTAGACTGTTTTGTCGATGGCGCTGCGCATCAATAAAGGAATGGTTGCATTATATATTAGTGAAGCTAGAGAGAGGGAAACATATTCATCCAAGTGGGATATCTCAAAAGCCATTTTCATCGTGAACTGTGCCTCCAAGATAGCCAATTGACTTATCAAGTACTATTGCATATTATCTATTTGAAAAAAAAATGCATATTGGTTTCTTTTCTACTCGAATTACCTGATAGGCACTCGCAAAATGTACACCAGGAATAGTACAAGGTACCCGTTTTAATCCGAAAAGTGGGAGTGTAGATTGGGAATATTTCCTCGGTAAAGAAGAAAGCGAAAGCATTGGCCATTGGCTACTTCGAGAAAGATATGGCTCCTCAAAAGTAAGGGAAGTAGAGATTGGTTGAGGTTGCCATGACGGGAATAAAAAGGAAGGGGCATTTGGACGAGATTTCAATTATTGCTAATGCACAGAGAGCTGACTACATGAAGAACTGTACAAAACTGTCTTTCACTGTCCCTGTGGGTCGTGATGAGTTGTTCGAACTTCCTAGATGGGTTCCCTTGTGATCGGTGCAGCCTCTACAAGGCTGGTGAAACTCGTCCGAGGATACACATGGGCCAATCTTTCAGCCTTTATAACTCCCTAACTTGGTCGTTTTCCGACCTATAGGGCCATACGCGGGACCTCAAATTAATGCCGTGGGGAATCTCAGAAACCATTTTTATCGTGAACTGGGCCTTTAACAATGGTCAGAAAGTCAAAATAAAACAAAAAGTTGAAGAAAATAAGTCGGGAGCCTATGCTCTCAACATACGGTCAGGGTGGAGTAATGAGTACCGTTTGTGTTTATCACACTTTTACTCTTCTGCTCTCTTGGGAAGGTGTATTAGAGTTCGAGTAATCCAAAAAAACGCCAACATCGAACAGAATAAGATCTGTCTTACCTGCCGAAGCAACTCGGCGTCGTACTCCAGCTCTTCGACAGTCATCCATCGTTTCCCATCCAAATCTGGAATACTGTGGTTGTCTCTTGGATAGCTCTCGTGCATTGCATGTTTCAATTCCTGAAACAGAAGGAATTTGACACGACTGACAACTTGACAACCCCTTCATACAGCATGCACACTTAGAAAACAAATGCTATCAAATCTATCTATTGTCCGGCTCAGGTTTTTTAATTCCATGTCAATCAATGTCGTGGCTTGAATTCAAATTCTCTTTCAACTTCTTTTGTGTTTTTTTTTTGGGGGAGCTAGCCCTTGATTAGTGTTTAGCGCAAAAATTTCGGAGCAGATTTGGTTAGTGGTCGAAGACTTTGCTCCCGAGTGGGGCGTCCCCTAATTTTCCGCGACAATCTTTTGGTTTTCAGATTCTACTAACTCACAACAGTTACCTCAGATGGCGTCGAAGTTGAATTTCGTAAGTTCTAAAAAAGGTTGATGAAGCATGAAAAGGTTACTGCTATTAACAGTTAAATAAATAGCGAATAAATATAATTAATTAACACACTAATACAGTCGGTAATGCACAACGGTAGGAATTTTTTGGTAATCGAGGACGTTCTAAAGCTGGTTCCTAATGAAAAGTGCGCCGGAGGAGGACCATCGTTGCAGGTCGATCCTTCTGAGGAGCATACAGTTTTCGAGCCGAGCGATACGGCAGTGATACAATTTATCCCATTTGAAAAATCACATCATTCGGTAACGGCCTACTGAAGCACTAACCTCGTAGAGTTACTCAAGTACAGTCCCCACAACTGAATGAGACAAAGGAGAATATCCTACAGGATATTGAGTGGAGGTAACGTAATGACAAGTACTATCCCACGGATGGTGCAAGGATCGAGTCTCGGGTAGATACCTCTTCGGGATAGCCTTCCATTCTTTCCTAGTCAGTTAATTGACGCCAAATTCGTCTGGGGATCCGTTAAAGCAATGGCTTGTACATCGGCTGGACATTATAAAGCGTTACATATGACATTTAAGCGTTCTGAACGGATCTGCGATTCTGGAAGTCGCATGCCATGGAAGTCGAATGCAGGGCGCATCCCAAAACGGGATTGATCAACACTAAAAACTCTAAGACTTTAACATGGTATCAATTATCTCGTTATAATCATTCATATTTAACCGAATTTTTGTAAACGCCACATCCGATCCTGAGTACCATTTTTTGAGCTTTTTGACTATAAGTTTTAGCTTTTCGGGGCTTACTCATAATAATTTTAGTTGCAAATTAAAAATAAACAAATCTAAGTGTACGGAGGCGTTGCTAATAGCATGTGAAGCTTCTTTGTACTTCATGAACTGTTGTCTGTCTCTGACTCGATCCCTTCATCTCAATAACTTTGGGCAAATATTAATAATTATTGGAAACGTAGACGGACGAAAAGGAGAGCTAGGAATGGCATTTTTTTTCGAAAACGGCATAAGTTATTGACCATCCCGTAAAATCCTTTTCCCTTGCATCGATTAGCTAGAAAAATTGATATGATTTGGTTGCAGTGGTATAGTCTGTTTACCAAAGTTCGCTACAATTGTTATTGTAGTGTGGTAGCCGTGAAACATGTTTTGTTTTTCCCTTCACTGTTACCGCTGAACTTCGTCATGTAGTGCGGCCAGTTCAACGAACACAATAACAAAAACAAAACAAAGTCCAACTGGTCCTCGTAGGAAAGGATAATCCGTTATGAGAATATGTTGGGAGTACAGTAATAGTAATAGAAAGTGTGGTAAAATGAATCCAGGGTGATTTGGATAGTTCAATCGTTCTTTTCTACTGGAGACAAGCCAACCGAGGTGTTCTGCAACTATCAAATGACCATAGTTCAGACGGCTACGGTCCGATGCTTCTTCTCTTCTCCTATCAATTTCCAACGCAACAAAACCATTTTGGGATCTACCGTAGACCTGACAATGCTCTAATAGTGATAGTGACTTTACAGCTATTTTTATTAGAGCTCAACTTAAGCGATCAGATTTAGAACTTCCAATAAAAACCGAGTTTATTTTTGTGAAGAGGCGCAGGCGGTGTAGTAACAAGTGGCGTACTATAAACGCGCATGGTCCGAGGATCGAATCCGTACCGATACTCACCCAGACCAACTGAGCCTTCCATTCCTCCGGGGTCGGTTAGTTGTTACCAACTCTACTGGAATGATAAATGACACTGACATAAGCATCGGCTAGCCATTGAATAGACACCAAAGGGTTCAGAAGTTTGAAAATAAGTCGAATTCAAGACGCAACCCAAGAACGGTATCGATTAAAGCCGAAAATTCTGACTTGTCCCTGGTCTTAAAAAATTGCAAGAACATCAAAGATCGTTGTTTTAAGATTAGATCGCTGCCCCTTTTCTTTTCAGCTGCTCTGACGGCAGACAGATCGACTGCGTTGTGTTTCAGTTCGTTATGAGGGTATAAACGTAGCACCGGTTTCCAAGAATTTTGTTTTTGAGGTTTGTAAAGGAACGACAAGTAAAGTTCACAGAAAGGGAGCGAATTAATGATCTTCTAGAGGCCGGTCTCACGAGCGATTCGCCCGTGGTTAGTTGCTCCAAATATTGAACCTAAGTCTTCAATATATCAATATACTACGCTCTGAGAGCTATTTGTGTTATTTCCCAAAAAGGAAAGCAGAAGTTTTATAAGAGCACCCACCTTAGCAATTTGATGAGTTCGATTAACATAAATTGTAAGTTCATCATTAACAGATTTGTGCATCAAACCATAAATGCACAGAATACAAGCTATCGTAACGAAACACAGAAAAATACAGACTCCAAGACGTCGATCCAACTTTGATTTGTATCTTTTCATATTCTGAAATGTGATAGGCTCATTCATCAAGCTCAAGTCAGTCAATCATAATTTTTGTTCTACAATATCACTACGATTAATCTAAAATTATTTATTCTTACCACTTTTTTGCTCTCCATGGTTGTTTCGCTGTGAATTTAAACTGTCGAAGAAGTCAGGTGCCTTTCCGGTCAAAGGCGAATACAAAAGTAGGGAATTGAACTATTACTAAAGTTTTCCTGGTTTATTTGAAAGTGATTTTCACGGAAAAGGCAAGAAGAGCAATAAAAATTGTTGGAGACGGAAAAACAGAAACGACGAATCGGGAAGGTTCTGCTCGGTAAATAAGCTATGCTGAGAACATCCAGTAAAGACCTTTCAAAGATGCTTGTAGCTCGTGGATTGACCGGTCCACGAAGGGCAAGCAAGCCTTGCGACTTTCAAAAAAGTCCTCTAACACGAAGAAAAAAAACCAGCTCTGCAAACATGAGCAAGTCAGTGGTCAGAAGTTGACTCCCGTAGACCCTTGCCTTTTCTTTTTTGCCTTTGTCTTTTTGGGTGATGCTGGAGGGGTCGATGATATAGAAATGAAGTAAAAAAGGGAAGAAGAGGGAAAGATTAATATAGAGTAAATACTAATGGAATACGTTGAAAAAAATGAATCCTGTTTTACTAATGGTGAATATCAGGGTCCACCATGTCTAGAAAGAAGAGCGATCGAACATTTTCGGATTTGAAAAGCTCCAAAATGATCCTCCAACCACCATCTTACTCCAACGATGCGTGGAAGTATGTTCTATATGAGCTTTGACGCAATCCGAATTTCCAGTGTGCTAGCCGGATGCCAGGGGCACTACTTTTCGTTATTCATCAGCCGGGATTCGGTCCCTCAAAGAAGCTATCCGATCAAAATATCAAGCCACTGAGAAGTGCTGAGCTCGATGATTTTGAGAAAAATAGTAGAAATCTAAGTCCAGGCTCTACCAGTAAACATAGTGTATCAAATGCAACTGTTGACTGGTTTATGTTTCACTAGGTAAGACTGCGGACGCTATCCCTCCCGATTCTCCCCTGCATGAGACCAGTTGTTTCAAACGTGGTTTTTGCCCAGCAGCAGTTCCTTTGTGTTAAGCTCAATAGGCCATTACTACACTGGGGCGTTTGTTGCATTTTACTCGAATCTACTTAGCAAATGGCCGATAATTGGCTGGAATACAAAAGGGGAAGCACCTACAATCTACAGAATTGTTAGATTAAATATGATACCTATTCTGGACATATCAATGATTCCTAAGCGATCTCGGAGATAATGGTTTTCCCCATGGATATGCACTATGCTGAGTCCAATGTAAACACTTGCAACGTTTTCGATTTTTCTGGAGTAAGGTAGTGCCAGGAAGCTCAGACGGCTATCTTTCCAAGCCAAACAAGCTTTTTGTCTCTTCAAATTCAGTAGATCGGTGACAGTCTCAACTGGTTCCCGATAAAGATAAAAACTGTATCCCTGCANTCAATAGGCCATTACTACACTGGGACGTTTGTTGCATTTTACTCAAACCTAATTAGCTAATGGCCGATAATTGGCTGGAATACAAAAGGAGAAGCACTTACAATCTACAGAATTGTTAGATTAAATATGATACCTATTCTGGACATATC